GCACGGCACACATCAGCACCCACAGCCCACGAAAGAATAGTAACACCCTCTCAGAAGTGTGCTAGCCAATGACACCCAGCGTTTGTGATGGAGAACATGAAGAGGCGCCTGCAGCGTTTGTGTCTGTGATGTCAGAGGGTGCTTAGGATGCTAACTGGTGCATGTGCTGAAATGGATGCATTTGAAGAACAGCTTTTAATTTAACAAAGCAAATGTTACCAACGCAATTACTGTATTCTAGAAATACTTTAATTTTCACAACCCAAAGCCTCCTTCCATGTTCATTCAGAACGTTTATTTCAGCTAAACTCCAAAACGGAACGTTCAGAAATCATTAACCATGCGCACATTCAAAGGAATAGTTCAACCAAAAATGAAAATTAGCTGAATATATAGCGCCTGCAGCGTTTGTGTCTGTGATGTCAGAGGGTGCTTAGGATGCTAACTGGTGCATGTGCTGAAATGGATGCATTTGAAGAACAGCTTTTAATTTAACAAAGCAAATGTTACCAACGCAATTACTGTATTCTAGAAATACTTTAATTTTCACAACCCAAAGCCTCCTTCCATGTTCATTCAGAACGTTTATTTCAGCTAAACTCCAAAACGGGACGTTCAGAAATCATTAACCATGCGCACATTCAAAGGAATAGTTCAACCAAAAATGAAAATTAGCTGAATATTTACTCTCCCTCAGGCCATGCATCCAAGATGTACATGAGCTTTTTTTGTTCATCGGAAGAAATTTGGAGAAATTTTGCATTCCATCACTTGCTCACCAGTGGATCCTCTGCAGTGAATGGGTGCCGTCAGAATGAGAGTCCAAACAGCTGATAAAAACATCACAATAATCCACAAGTAATCCACACGTGTCCAGTCCATCAATTAACATCCATAATATTCCTTTATACAGTGAAAAAGTCATCTTGTCTGAATCAGGAGAGAAATATGCACAGATCTAGCACCATTTACAAGTGAAAACAGTCCAGTGCATTCTAAACAAATATGTCAGTGGATTCTGATGTGAGAGGACAACATGAGATGAGACTTTTTCAATGGAGGAGGCGTTATTATAGACTGTTTTGGAACCAGAAGTGTAGTTAAAATATCTTAATGATGGAGTTTTTGGCTTCACAAGATGTTAATTAATGGACTGGAGTGGTGTGGATTACTTGTGGATTATTGCGATGCTTTTATCAGCTGTTTGGACTCTCATTCTGGCGGCACCCATTCACTGCAGAGGATCCATTCGTGTGCCAGTGATGTGACGATTACTGATTCATTCATTTTATTTTGTGTCACTCCTAGTCCTCAATGTTCAATCCATATTTAGTGTCTCAGCCTGTTCTGACAGACGTATGTAGGTGGTAAACAAAAGATAAATAAATAGTATAGGTAGTAGTACGTAAGGACAGTAGGTTGTATGTTCTCTTTAGTTTTTATGCTTTGGATAAACACTAACATATCGTACCTTGTGTTAAGTTGGCATAAAGTCACTCCACATATTCTCTGCAGCTAAATCATTTCATATTCTATCTCTGTGAAGTTTTTAGCTGTTGTCATGAGTAGTTTCTTACGTGGCGGAGTGTGCTGTTGAACAGGCCAGCGCTGGGAAGCTCCTCCAGCTCTCCAGGACTTCTTGTCAGGACGGAGCTGGATGTGACAGGCTATTTCCAGGGCGTAAACTATTTCAGCTGGCTTACTGTCAAGTGGGGAGCCCAGCGCGCTGTAGTGAGCGTGTTGCACGGCCCAGTGGTGGGGATACGGCTCAGAGCAGCGGCGCAGTACTGTGTATGCTGTGCTTGTTTGAGTCACTTTGTGGCCTGCTGTCATGTTCAAGAAACAGTTCACCTTGAAATGGAAATTCTGTCATTATACTTAGTCTCATATGTTGAAACCTTAAATGGACTACTTTTGTGTTTTTTCTTCTATGGTGCTTATTGGATCAGATTTTATTTTGGGGTTGACTAGTTTTTATTTTTAAATTTTAAAGTTTTCTGGTCACCAAGGCTGTATTTATTTGATCAAAAATACAGTAAAAACAGTATTATTGGGAAATATTAAAATAACTGTTTTCTGTGTTAAAATATTTTAAAATGAAATTTATTTCTGTGACAGCAAAGCTGAATTTTCAGTCTTCAGTGTCACATGATCTTTCACAAATCATTCACAAATCATTCTAATATGCTGAATATAGTGCTGCTTAATATTTTTGTGATTTATTTTTAAGATTATGTGATGAATAAAATGTTCAAAAGAACAGCATTTATTTGAAATGGATTTTTTGTAACATCTTGCTAAATAAAAGTATTTCTTTCTTTCTATTTATTAAACAAAAAAAAAATACTGCCTTGGATAAACACTAACAAAGAGGGTTATTATAGTTAACTAAAACGAAAAATAAAAAAAAATAAAACCATAAAATAAATTTTCATTTCTTGAAATAAAAAAAGTTAACTGAAATAAAATATAATATATAATAAAATATAATAAATATATATATATTTTTTATTTCAACTAGCTGCCATGGTACCATTTTTAATTTTTTAATTTAGTTTAACTTGTATTGAAATATATAAATATATACACACACACACACACATACACACACACACACACACACACACACACACACAAACTACTAAAAATGCTTGTCATTTGTTCAGAGTCCAACACCCCACAACAAAATTACTTAAACTTTATCTAAAATTAAAATGAAAAATAAAAAATATAATAAAAATCTGAATTATATATATATATACAGTATATATGTTCCTGTGGCTCAGTGGTAGAAGCGCAAAAGGTCGTGGGTTCGATTCCCAGGGAACACACATACTGGTAAAAAATGTATAGCCTGAATGCACTGTAAGTCGCTTTGGATAAAAGCGTCTGCTAAATGCATAAATTATTATTATTAATTATTATTATTATATTATCCCACTGATGCTCAATGATACTTTAATGTAAAAGACATCTGGCTGTTTGAAGGTTTTCACAACTTTATTTGTAAAGAACTGGACTTTTTTCCATTTGCTGAAGACATTTTTCCACTAGCTCAAAGAAATGGAAAGCAGAACAAGAAGAGTCCACTTGTCTGTGCATAAATTCTAGCAAACATACGGCTGCATAAGTCCAGTGATCTGTTTTGTGAGTGCCTTCCACTGTTGTTCTGGAGTGCTTGGAGGAAATCTGACGAATGTGTGTGTGAGTCTGGACAGAAGCGTCCTGTGCCCGTCCAGCATCCCTCTGATGCTGCCACCATCTGTCAAGCCTGTTTCTGATTGGCTGGAGGTTCAGAGGGTAGGAGCTCATGGAACGAGAGGACACCGGGGCAGAATATCAACTCTGAGCTGTAGTTTCTAGAGCGAAAGAGTGGGAGGCGCGTCCAGTTGTGAGTTTTATAGAAGAACAGGGATGAAGTAAAAAAAGTCAAAAACCACAGTAATCGCTTTATTGCTATCGCCTTGGCTGACAGGGCCAGAGCCGAACGTGTGACAGCTTTACAGCTCGATTTAAAACCTGATGAAACCACAGTGCCATCAATATCAAAGTCTGCACATGAGTTATACGTTTACAGTCTGAGGGAAAAGACTTAGGTACATATTGTGTCTTTTTGGACTGTTTTTGGCTGGTAGTCTATGACAGCCCATAGAACCAGATGGTAAACCAACTGATTTTACACTGATATTAATGTTGGCCCACTTACAGTCCTTTTACTGACTGATATTGCATTTAAAAAAGATAATGGGTTGATATTATGAGCCTTTGTGAAGAGCAATTTTTTACCGTACATTTGTATTTTTTTGTAAAGATTTTAATGTTTATGTAAATTAATCAAAAATGTCAGGAAAGATATTTAAATGTTTCTTCTTCAAATACATGCTGTTCTTTTGAACTTTCTGTTCATCAAAAAATCCTGAAAAATATATTCTAACAATATTTTAAGATAGAAAACAGTTAGTGTAATAATATTTAGCAATATAACAATGTATAGCTTTGCTCACCTAGTGGTTAGAAAATCAGTCCTTAAAACTTCAGAAATTTTTGTGACCTAAAGTCAATCGATATTCATACAATATTCATATTTCTTAGTTTAGCCATATTACCTGTCCACCAATTAAAATTATGATTTTCAAAGTCATCCTACAACTTCTTTTTTTGTTTTTTCATAAATGCTGGTCAAAATATAAAATAGGGCTGCATGACGATTAAAATTATAGTCATGGTTATTTTTGCACAGAAATTAATCTTGATTAATAAACAAGAGAGAGTTTATTTGACCTCATCTAGTTTCCTGATTTATAGTATTTATTATATATTAACACACTTGCTACATTATGAAAATTGGTAAAACTTTATCGAGCAAATGTGAACACAGCAAAATGTTAATTACAACAATTCCAAATTGCATAACTGTTTTCTATTAAAACAACAAAAAATACTTTATTTTATTTTGTTTTATTTCTTTCTTTTGTTTTTGTTTTTGCAGTGCTGAGAGCAGTTATGAAAAGGTTGCCAGGTTGAGAGAATGAAGTGAAACACCCAATGCATGAGAGCTAGCTAACTAACTAACTGACTAACTAACTAACTAACCAACAGGCCAATATCAGAAATTGTGATCACGATTAAAGTGCAATTTAAAAATACATTTGAAACTTCAAACCATTTTCCTGTAGTGCATCAATAATTTTTCTGTTAAAATGCCAGCCAGGAAGTTATGTTGTTATCATAATGTGGCAAAGTTTTGCTTAATCAATTTAAACTTACATTTATCCATTATGGAAAAGAGTTTTATTCAAAGAGACTTCTGAGGGATAGATTCTTTAAACTTTGTGGATGAATATTTGGTAACAGCGCCACATACTGGTCAAATGTTGTAAGTTCAGGTTAAATCTGCTTATAGACTTTGAACTGGTTGGAATAAAAGCATAGTTTTGTCTTGTATTTTTATTATTGGCATGCAGTCCCTTACCCGTTCTCCTCTCCTCCTCCTGTCCCAGATGCGAGGTATGCTGTCCCCCCCTCCTTCCGACACCAGCCCTCCTTTGCTGCTGCTCCCTCCTACGAGCAACCCGACTGGAATCCTCGTCTGTGTGTGATCAGTGGAAATCAGCTCTACATGTTGGACCAGGAGGAGGTACTGGTAGCCCAATAACATAGAATCATGCACTTCCTTTCCAATATGTTCCTTTCTACTGTTTGTGTGCTGGGTGCTCATTTTACTGCCAGTTTACACAAGGGAATTTATTTGAGAAATTCCACAGCTCAAAACATATTTTACATCTCTATATTCTTTGGTTGATTCGCATGTATAGTCTGGGAGTGATATAAGTGTTGCAACTCAAAAGTATCAAGTATTATGTTGGTGTGCATATGAGCATTATTAGCAGTTTGTTAATTATCTGTAGTCTGATTAGACCGATGGATAATATCAGGTTTTATTTTTTTTCCATTTCAAACTGTTAATTTTTATACTGTACATTATAATGTTTTGATGTCTGATTTCAGCCAAAGCCTGTACAATTTAGTAGTTTTAATTTTTCTTTTTTTTTCAAATGGCATATTACATTAATGATATCTATTCAATACAGAACAATGGCAACAATATACCTGATTAATAAATAATTAATGAATATATTTTTTTGTAATGACAATTATTAATATGTATTATTAAACTGTGTTTTTATATATATAAACATACACATAAATAATAAATAATTTATTAAAACAGTTATATATTGTTGTTATAAATATACATATAGAAAACAACATATAGAACAACGGCAACAAACTTTACATAGAAATGAACTATTTTTGTTGTAAAATACCTGATAAATATTATTACTATTATTAGAATGATATTAATCAGTGCATGCGCATTTTTTTAAATGTATTTTAATTGAATTTAAGTAGTTCTGTTTAACTGCAGCTTTTTGTTTTAGGTTGGGCAGTTAACATGAATTACTTTAAAACTTTATCTCTATAGTAGCACATCTTACAGAAGTCAATTAATTAAGTAATTAATTAATTTCCCCCCTTATATTACCAAGGGCACAAAGTGAGCCAGGACTGGTGCTCCCTAAAAAAAAATAGGTTCATGACGGCCCTGAAACCTGATCGTATGCTGCTGCCCATATTCGTCCAAAATAATTGAGCATTCTTCGAGTCTAGTCTGACTGTACCTACAGGAAGTCAGCCTGCAGTGCTGTGTTGTTAATGGACACACTGGCTGACCTGTAAAGCAGCTGGTGATGTGGATCAGCAAGACGTTGAGAGGCTCATTAGTCAGACGCTCCATCCTGTCTAATTGCGCCCGTTTTGTTGCATGTTCTGATAAGGCCACACTTTGAATTGATGTGAATCAGTCTTGACGGACTAATGGCTGTCACCTCTCTGATAAATATTCATGGTTGTCACTCATGTGCTGCAGGGGACAGTTGCAGCCCTGTTTGTGTGTGTGAGGGTCTTCATTCAGGTCCTGTAGTGAATGACAAGCGTCTCCTCCGTGCAGACATTTGCACTCTGAGAGTCCGCAGGAGGACATGCCTTTTCTCTGATTGTTTTCATGACTGAGGCCAGTAAATTAATTCCCAATCAGTTTATGCTGCCCTCACTTAACAGAAAAATGTAAGTACCGTAAATTAATAACTGTACCAGTGTATTATATACAAATTGGATGTTTTATGTATTTTTGTATAATTTTTATATGATTGTAGTATTTAATTTATTGAATTTATCTTTTGATTGAGCTTTTTTATGCTTTCAATTTATATGCTTTTGTCATTTTTAGTACTTTTTTTATTTCGTTTTTTTTTAGTTTTAGTAAATTTAGTTAGTTGCCAAGGCAACATTTCTAATTTTCATTTAATATTTTTTTATGTTTATGTTTTTATGTTTAAGTGTTTCACCTAATATTTACATTTTATTTGATTTCTGTCAGTTAACAAAGATGATTTTTAATTGTGTGTGCTGTATAAAATGTATAGGACTTTCTTTAAAAATAAATATAATAATAATAATAATAATAAATAACAATAATAAAACAATAACAATAAATAATAAAAGTAATATAATAAAATAAATAAATTATATATATATTTTTTTATATTTTAAGTTTTCTTTTTCATTTTAGTTTGTTTTCATAATTTTGATATGTGCTTTTTTATTAGGTTTTTTTAAGTGTTTCACCTAATATTTAAAGTTTATCTTATTTCCGATAGCAATAGTCATCCATTTCATTTGATGTATAAATTATAAATTAATAATAATAATATTAATAATCATGAATTTAATATAAAAATAACATATAATGTGTGTGTTTATTAAAAAACATTACCTTTTATAATATTTTTCACCCCATCAATGTGC